CAGACACCGAGATCGACTGGAAGGCCTACATGGAGGAGGTGGAGGGGTTTGCCAACGGGACCCTCGACTACACCCAGCTGAAGGGTGACACCGGGCCGCTGGTGTGAGTGATGGGGATGGCCGAGCTCCCTGCGACTGGGGGCTCCCGGGGTGCGGGGGGGGCCCAGAGGAGCAGCAGGGCCTGGCGCCTCACTGCCATCTCTCCACAGCTACCCCGCCGGCTTCGTCTACATCTTCCTGGGCCTGTACTACGCCACGGGCCGTGGCACCGACATCCGCCTGGCGCAGTACCTCTTCGCCGGCCTCTACCTCCTCAACCTCCTCCTCGTCTTCCGCATCTACTGCCGAACAAACAAGGTAGCCTGGAGCCAGGGGATCTCACCGGCCGCCTCGGGACCTCTCCTGCTCTGCCTGGTCCTCACCCCAGGGAAAAGGGCTGGGCAGGAGGTCAGGGTTGGGGGGCTGAGGTTTGGAAGGGCTCAGCTGCAGCGGGGGGTCCGGGACAGGCTGCTGACTGCCCTCGTGTCTCTCTGTTCGATGCAAGGTCCCCCCGTATGTTTTCTTCTTCATGTGCTGCGCCTCCTACCGCATCCACTCCATCTTTGTCCTGCGGCTCTTTAACGACCCCGTTGCCATGGCCATCCTCTTCCTCGCCATCAACCTCTTCCTGGAGGAGCGCTGGTCCTGGGGCTGCCTCCTCTTCAGGTGAGGGTCTGGGAGCAGGGCAGGGGCTGCTCTCCGCGGCATGCTGCATGTGTGAGCGAGCTCGGCCACAGGGAGGAGGCTGCCTGGGCACCCGTAGCGGGGGCCACAGCGGTAACACAGCTTCCCGCTCAGCCTGGCTGTGTCTGTGAAGATGAACATCCTGCTCTTCGCACCTGGACTTCTCTTCCTCCTCCTCCAACGGTTTGGTCTCCTGGGCTGTATCCCCAAGCTCTGCATCTGTGCCCTGCTCCAGGTGGGTCCCTGCTCACATCGGCTACAGGGCAAGGCTGGCAGCCCCACTAGCAGCGGGTACTGGGCTGCTCTGCCTGCATTCCAGCATCCTGCCTGGCTGTCCTGGGGGCTGGAGACCTCTGGGTGGATATACAGTGGCACCAGCACCTGAGGTGGCCCCACACAGCAAGCTGGAGGTTGATGAATAATCTAATTTATGGGGCTCCCATCTTTGGCTGACTGTCCCTGTTGCCCCACACGGTGCTGGGGTTCTCGGGAGGTGGCGAGGGTGATGGAGACCTGGCTTACGGCTGCTGTAAGGGTGCTGGCGTGTCTCTGGCAGATAGTTCTGGGGCTGCCTTTCCTGCTGGTGAACGCTGTGGGGTACCTGACTCGCTCCTTCGACCTCGGCCGCCAGTTCCAGTTCAAATGGACGGTGAACTGGCGCTTCCTCCCAGAAGAGGTTTTCCAGAATCGGGCTTTCCACGCCATGCTGCTCCTGGCTCACCTGGCCGGCCTGGGGCTCTTTGCACTGCACCGATGGCACAGGTGAGACCCGGGGTTCCCCACGGGTGCTGGTCCCTGTCAGCCCCCATGGTGGGTCCGTGACTCCCCTGCCCCCACAATGGGGTTCTAGGGTTGCAGGCAGGAGTCAGGGGGAGTTACTGTTCTGTTTTGGGGAGTGTGCTGCCCAGGGATCGTGGCTCACAGGGGAAGGTCAGGGTGGGAAAGACTTTCAGCAGCTGCTATTGATGTTTGTGCTTCCCCCTCAGGTCCAAAGAGAGCATCCTGACTCTACTGAAGGATCCTGCTGAAAGGAAACACGCCTCCCCTCCCCTGACCGTCAACAATATCCTTTGGCAGGATGGGCAGCAAGGAGGTGGGGAGAAGGCAGGGCAGGGCAGACCTTGGGCTCAGCATTTGCAGGTTCCTGGTCCTGCGGTGCTGTCAGAAGCAACCTGTCCAGGGGGAAGGAGCTGTGCTGTACGGTTGGGAAGCTGTTGTGGGATCGCACCTCTAGCCTCCTGCGTTTGTCCCCTTAATGCCAGCGCACAGATTGTCTTCGTCCTCTTCTCCTCCAACTTCTTGGGCATCTGCTGCAGCCGCTCCCTGCACTACCAGTTCTACGTCTGGTATTTCCACACGCTGCCCTACTTACTATGGTGCACCCCTACCACCAAGCTCGCCCACATGCCCAAGTACGTGCTGCTGGGGAGGGGGAAAACCCACCTGCTGGGAGGTCTGGGAGCGAGGGGGGCTGGTGTATGTCCCCACCTTGCTGACCCCCAGCATTGCCCCTGCAGGGTGCTGCTGCTGGGCGTGATCGAGCTCTGCTGGAACACCTACCCCTCCACAGTCTGCAGCTCCCTCTCCCTCCACATCTGCCACGGACTCGTCCTGCTCCAGCTGTGGTATGGCACGGCTCCCCCGCCAGCACCACACACCCCCCCGCTGAGCAGGAGGCCCGCAGCCATCTCCAAGAAAGCCCAGTGAGAGTGTGGCTTGCCAGATGATGGGAACTGGCCTCTGGGACTGCCCCTTCTGCCTGCTCTTTCCCCACCTGGCTCTCAGGCTGCCCCCAGCCATCCCAGGAGGGCTGTGAGCCCTGGAACTGTGCAAAGGGGGCAGCGTGGGGACCCCCGACAGGCAGGACTTCCTCAATAAAGGGGGCTTCTTTGTGTGCCCTTCCCCGGCTGCAGCGTCCTCGTGCTATGACAGTGTCGGGACAGCCATGCCTTGGCCTGCCCCATCTGTGGGGAGGCAGAGCAGCCGCCGGGGCCATGGGAGCTCCCTTCCCAGCCCTGGGAGAGTGGTGCCTGGGGCAGGGAAGCAGCCTCTGGCATGAGTTGACACAGGATCAGCAAAACCGCTTTGCCTCAAGGTTTGAATCACCTTGATGCAGCCCAGGGATCCCTCCAGCATGGCTTTTCCTAGTCCCGTGTCTGCTCCCTCCCACCCTCCCACGGGAGATGGGTGGGAAGGGGGCAACCCCTCCCGCAGGGCTCTGGTGAGCCCCAGTGTGGTCTGAATGGGGCCAACAGCTCCCTGCCCATAACAGAGACGCCTGTGCAGGCAGCGTGGAGCCAGGCATCTTTATTGGCCCTGCCGGTGGCCGTCAGACATTGTTGGGGTTGTAGCACAGCATGTTCAGCTTGATGTTCTCGTCCCAGTGACGCAGCAGCAGGAATAAGTGCCTGGCCGCCCCTTTGAGGCAGCCCACGTCCACCCCCTCGGGCAGCTGCTGCGCCTGCAGCCATGCATCCGCCTTGGCCGCCACCAGCTCCCACTCCTCGAAGAAGCCGGCGCAGCGATGCTCCAGCCATGCCAAGGCCACTGCCGTGGCCCAGCTGGCACTCTCCAGGTCCTCCGGCCCCACGTCCTGCCAGCTCACGCCAGCCTCGGAGGGGGCGGCTGAGTGGGGGCCGGTGTCTGACTCGGAGCCGTGCCCGCTGTCCGCCTGCACCCACACGGCTGCACTGGGCACCTCGGAGCAAGTGCTCCGGGACGGGGGCGAGCCGGGCTGTGGGGCTGCGGCGGGCTCCTCGCCCTCCTCGCCGCCGGGCCCTGCCTCGGGGCTGCTCCTGGCCCCCGGCGATGTGGGGCTGAGGCTGGCTCGGTGGGAGGCGTAGGGGGAGGCCCGGCGCAGGCGGTCCAGGGGGATCTGCACCACTTCGGAGAAGCTCTCGGTGAGCTGGAACGGCCCCTGGGCTTGCTGCAGCTGCACCTGCAACGGTGGGGCAGGCAACTGGGGGTGGCCAAGCAGGAGCACAGACCCACCGCAGCACCCAGTGGTGGGGGCTGCAGGAGTGTCCCTGAGGCACAGGGACTGTCCATCCACACCCCCCCCCCCCCCCGAAACCCACAAAAGCCCCCCAGGCCCCCCCAAGGGCGGCGCAGGGCAGAGCAGGCACCCACCGGGTTTGTATCCTCAACTGGGTGCTGCCTGGTATCACCTGGGTGGCTCAGCTGCAACCCAGCAGGGAAGGTGCCTGCTTGGCCCCCCGCTCCAGGTGGGATGGTGACGGGGTCCTTACCAGCGGGAGGTAGTCATGGCTGGCGTGGTTGCTGGAGTGCTCGCTTTCTGGGCTGAGGCACTGCGGGCGCAGCGCCAGGCTGGGCCCCCTGCGCCTGCTCAGGCTAAACCTGGGGGGGAAACAGGTCTGTTGATGGGGGGGGGATGACACACATGCAATTCCCAAAGGGGGGAAGGGACTGAAGCACCAAACCCCCACCCTTACGCCAAAGGAGCTGGCAGGGGACTGTCCCCCTCTCCCTACAACATGCCGTTTTTTGGGCCCTTGCATCCCCCTACCCTGCAGCCTCACCTGGAGCCAGCGATGCTCTCTGTGGATTTCTGGGAGCCCGTGGAGGTGGTGGAGGGGCTGGTTGGAGGCCCTGCAAGGGGGGAGAGCTGAGCATGGTGGGGGCCATAATGCACCCAGAGGTGTGTCCCGCTCCCCAGCACCTGTGAGGGAGGTTCAGCCCCTGTGCCAAGGGCAGATGTGGCTGCAGCAGATGCCAGGGGCACCCCCCAGTCCCCCACCATCCAGCCCTTGGGCCCCTCCACCCTGGACGCACCATTCGAGCAGTTCTGCTTTTCCCAGCCGTAGGTAGGGGACGAGATGCTGGCTGGAGACCCAGGGGTCTCATCTCGCTCTGCAAAGGAGCAATGCCTTGAGGGCCCTCTTGGGACCCTCACAGCCTGCAGCTCCTGCCAGGGGCTGCTACGCTGCCTCCCCATGTCCCCCCGCACTGTGGGGCAGATGCCTCTTCTCGGGCATCCACAGCACTCCAGCCGGGACCAGCCCCACACAGCTGCAAGCTGAGGGTCCCCAGGGATGCCAGTGCTCAGGCAGGTCCCTGGGGAGTGTAGGCTAATGTAAGGGCCTGGATTGGTACCTGCAGCGATGGGGGCCTCATCCTGCTCCTCCGCATCCCGCTGCTGGCCCAGACCTGCCAAGGAGCTCCTGTGGTGCCAGCTCCCTGCCGTGGCGGCTCGTGGCCGACTGGCCGAGCCAGCTGCAAGGGACGGTGCCACCTCAGCCCTCTGTCCACTTGCTGCCCCCTCCCCAGCATGCCAGGCCCCCCAGCCGTACCTGTGCCCCACACCTCAGGGGCTGCGGGCAGGGCTGCCTGTGTGGCACCATCCACAGGCACCAGGTGGGTGTAGAGACAAGGCACGTTGCAGGCTTTGCTGGTTTGCACGGCTTTCAGGCGAAACCGGCGGGCGAAACCTGCCCGGAGTGAGGTGGTTGTTAGAGGTGGGGGGATGCCAGGGCTGCGCTGGAGTTTGGGGGACACACACGTGCACCGGTACCCACCCTGCTCCAGCTCGGCTTCCCTCTGCGCCGCGTTCTCGTTATCCCGGATGACGGAGTGTGCTGCCAAGCGGTGCAGCGGCTTGTCCCAAGCCTTGCCCCCCCGCCGCGGAGGGTCCTCCCTGCCTGGCCCCTCCTGGGGCTGCAGCAGCGACTCCAGCGAGGCTGTCACTTCCCAGGACACTGGCTTGCCGGCTCGCAGCGCATGGATCACCACCTGGCAGCGCAGGGGCAGGCTGGCATCACCCAGGCTGGGCTCCCTCGGCTCGGGTACTGGCGAGGCGCTGAAGAGGTAGGAGGGCTCCACCAGCATGTCCCAGTCCAGGTTGGTGGGCGAGAGGAGGTTATCTGGGCAACGGCAAGATGTGGGCTCAGGAAGGCGGGCTACCCAGCTCTGTCCCCACCACCCTCGTCCCCCGGAGCCAGCACACACTTGACTCCACCGCGCTGGGTTGCAGCCGCTGTGCCCGGGGTCCCAGCTCATCCAGCCGCCCCTCCAGGGACTGGTTCCTCTTCTGCGACACCTTCTCCAGGGCCTGGCAGAGCCGGTGGGCATCCAGCTCTCCGTGCGGCGAGGAAAAGCTGCGGCTGGCCAGGGCGGCGCGTGCCAGCACCTTCTTCCGCCGCGCCAGCTCCTCCATGCTCAGGGCCACCGTCACCTGCGGCGGGGCGGGAGGCTGACGGCGAGCCCGGCAAAGGCTCCGGCACAGAGCCCAGACTGCGCCAAGCTGTGATGGGGCACCTGTGGCCCCGGCCGGCTGTTGGCCGAAGCTGCTGGCTGACGCCCAGCCCTGCCGCTCTGCAGGCTGGCACCCGGCAGCCTCCCAGGGCGACAGGAGATGCTCGCCAGGATTGTAATACACGTGGGAAGGACCGACGGCACGGAGACAGGAGTTTGCAAACATCCCTGGGGGCTGACTCAGGCTGACGCCGAGGCAGGAGGAGTTGGCAGGGATTTTTGTGTGGGCAGGGAGGGGGGCCTTAGCTCAGTTGCTCAGGCTGGATGATGCTACAGTGGGATGCAGTCTCCAGCGCACAGTCATGTCCCCGCACTGAGATGCTTCACCTAAAAGCTACGGCAGGGCAGCGGCACCTGCGCCGCCTCTCACCCCGGCAGCGGGGAGCCCGGGGGGGATCATTTACGCTGCGGGGAAATCACTTACGCTTGACATTTCGGCAGTAAAAGCCACCAGCTGTGCTCTTGTGCGGCAGGAGCAGGTTACCTAACCCGTGCCACCGGGAAGGAGCGTGTCCCAGAGCTGGGTGACAGCTGGCCTCAGCCGGCCTCGGGGCCATCGTCACTAGGGAGCTGCTTCTCCCCATCCCAGCAACCTGGCTGGGTTTTAAACCCAGATATGAAGCAGCAGGAATGCAGCCCATCGCTAACAAAGCGTCAGGTGGCATTGGCCGAGGGCTGAAGGGAGCCAGGCAGGAGCTTAACCAGCCCACCCCCTCCTCTCCAGCTTGGCAGGTTCATTACCAGATGCCTGCCCAGCTATTTTCACTTGATTTCTGCAGCATCAATGAGGATCTGAGCTGGCTAGGTTGTTTGTTAGCCACCCAGCTGCCTACTGGCCCAGGAAGCTGAGGGACCAGCTGCTTGGTCCCCAGCTGTCCCATTCCAGTAGGGCAAAACCACCCGAGGACTCTCCTTGCAGCACCCATGGCTGATCCTTGCTTAAAATCCAGGCTACAGTGCCCCAGTTTCCAGCCCAGTGCCCACATGTCTGGGCACAACACGGCAGCAAGACCCTAGCAAAGCCGGCAGCATTCTCCCCACGCGTGAGCCCTGGCACCCCATTGGCATCCTTACCTTGGTGCCAGCCCGAGTGGAGGGCAGCGGGGCAGACTTGGTGGAGGATTCGCAGAGGGACAGGCTCTTCTGGCCCTGCTGCGAGGTGGCATCGGTGCCAGGGGCCGAGGAGCTGCCCTCGGGGGCCGCGTCCCGGGAGCCGGTGGACTCGCTGCTGGTGGAGCTGCGGGAGAGCAGCCCTCGGCTGCGGTCGGTGCTGACGGAGCAGTGCGTCAGGACGTACTGCTCCTGGATGTAGGAGGGCTGGTAAATTCGCTTCCAGATGTCTCCCCCCGAAATGGGATCCGCACCTGCCCGGCGAGCGCACACCCCGTCAGCCCACAGCTCCCACGCCTGCCCCCCGCCCCAGCTCCGGCCCCACT